TGAATTTAAAGCTTCAAGCCAAGCTTCATGAATTTTTGCTGGTCGTACTGTTGATTAAATACAATACGTTTTCTATTGATTAATTTGTTTTGCTTATACTCCCAATTGAGCGGTCTACTCGCATTAGTTCCTAACGATAGCATATGGAATCGATCTATACATCTATAGATTTAATGGTTTAATTTTTTCCTTTTAACATGAATGTTTAATTCGTGTTAAGTTTTTAGTTTTAGTTGTGAGAAAATATGAGTTATGTTAATTTTTAACGGAAAGATACCACCGATCATGAAGCTTCATATCGCAATCGAAGTCTTGTTCTTGTTTCGAATAAACGGCAATTACGTTAATATTATATATAAAGATCTTTATTTTTTTATTAAGTCACAATTTATAAATGATAGATAGGGTTATCTGTGGAATAGCATATCGCGAACAGCACCTTCGCTTTGCTTTGCTGGCACACAGGCACTCTGTAGCTGTATTTCGTTGATGCAGCGGTGGATCACTGCCTTCAATGGGCAAATAGTTGTGGGCTTGTTGGTATAGAACTTTGACTATTAAGTAACCCTAGGAGAAGAAACCCAATCGTGTTAAATCACGGGATCTAATTGAATCAATATTCCGATAATACTTTGTACGAAAATTGCGAACTGTGGCGATCGAACCTATACACATATACATCGTCACGATTTTATTGAGACACTTTCACAATATTATATAAAATACTCATCCCAGGGAATATAATTATTTTAAAGCTTGGCTCGTCATATCTACGAATAAATTACGCACTGCCTGTGATAGTTGCTTTCCAACAAAGTGTGGTTTCTGGAAAGTTTAGTTTCTCTACTTCTTCAAATCTTTTCGAAAATAGTGATCGTAATAATTATAAGAATTTAAATACGCGTAGTACTAGCGATATCATCGAGAAAGGATTAATAACTCAAGAGAGTAAAAATTGATGACGATTCGACTGAAACTTTTGTTGTCAATAATCCACGTGGTTGACAACTAAAGTCACGCTTGCTTTTTGCTATACATTGATATTAATGTTTTTTTTATTTACAAGAAGAGTTTTGAGAGATCTTGCACTGAACAGTGTAGTGCGTGCGTACGTTTTGGTATATGAGATGGGAAAGCTAGATATCTTCAAAAGATTCCTTTGACCCGTATTAGTGGCATGCCCGATTCGCTATCCTTGGGGTCTATGTACTAAAATTACCTTCTGCCCCCCGGGCGGCATATATACACACACACTTCTCCGGTCACTCCTTCCCGCATAAGCACCGTTATCTCCCTGGGGTTGGTTGCGGCTAGTGCCCTTCGTTTCATGGGACCTTAGTAGATTACGATTGGCCTTCACTTCCCCTTGTGACTACCTGGCGCCTCTTCAATCAGAGAATATGTTTGTGTACTCTATAGGCGATAATGTAGCACTTGTACGGAAATGGCGAAAAATGGCCACACCCATCAATTGTATAGTGTATCAAAGAACCATTTTTTTTTTTTTTTTTTTCAAATTATATAAATTCTTACCCAGTTTGACATTTGGAATGTACCTAAACATGTCCCTCTGTCCACTCCACATTATAGAGCACGAAAATTTAGTTCGTTTGTTTTTTTTGTTTTTTTTTTTTTTGTCATTTTTAGAATAATCGCGATGGGTATAAAAAATTCGGTCACGATCGAATACAATTTTCTTACTTGTTTTTTTTTTGTTTTTTTTGTTTTTTTCCTTTCATAAAATTTGAAACAGTCGTGGTTGAAATCATAACAAAAACTGGATCTTTGTTTCTCAGTGATTTTTTGCTTTTTTGTTTTGTTGTGTTATTTTGATCCAAAGCAATTTTTAATTTCCGCATAACAATGCACAAGTTATTAAAATTTTTGTGTTGCTACTGCTTGTTGTTGCCTTTTATTTTCTAATTTTTTTTAGAACTCTTCTCTTCTCTTGTCGGTTACATTGTTGTTTTCTGCTTTTATTTTTGGAATTTGCATTGTGCCTTTGGGTGATAAAATTCCTTTTGTTTTATCTACATACATGTTTGAATTTATTTATTTCTTCATTTTTCTTCTTTTATTTTTTTTTATTATTATTTTTTTTTTTTGAAAGCAAAATATGTGCGCTTCAACACTTTTCTGAATCCGTTCTCTTTTTTTTTTTTTTTCTGGTTATGCTGTATATTTTGTATAAAGCAATTCATCAACATTCTTGTAACTCTGACCTTATACAGCACAGAGCAAAGCACATTTTCTTCTATGAAATGATGGGCAGGGTAGAGCTCTTTCTTAAACCACAATTATGTCTTTTTCGTAAAGGCTTGAGATTATATTGCATCAATTTGATGAATAAGAATATATAAGATATTTAAAAGAGTCAAAAATAAAATTATTTATATTAAAATTGTATGCTTGTGCTAAACCTAACCTTTATTAATTTTATTAGATATTAGAAGGATGGATATAAGAAAGACAACAAGAATGTTTTTTATATCCAACTTGACTTGAATAGAATTTGATCTCATTCACTTATAATATTATAAAGGTATTGTTTTAAAATGAGTGCATCACGTGTCACGTGTGAGAGTTCATTCATTCTTTCAATATTAAATAAAGATCAAAATTTTGTTATAAGTTTTACATCACCGGTCACTTGATAGATAAGATTTCGGATATATGAAGGGAACAAATGAAAATAGGGAAATATATTTGCATTAATTGACTGCAGCTGTGTGTGTGATGAGAATCTTTTAATAAAAATTTTTCCATAAACTTGCTATCGAATTTTTAAACAAGTATTAAATTGCCGGCATCATTTTTGTAGGGGATTACATATATGAACCTACTTTGATTTTTGCCAATAGAAATATTGCGTCTTCGTCTCCGGACTCAGTTGTCAGTTTTAAGTGGCAAAGCATACTAAGAAGGAAAATTCTAAAATTCTATTTTAACTTACATTGTCTGTATGCAAAAATGCTCCTCGCATTGCCAGATTAATAGAATAGCAGAATAACATAGGATTATGTAGCAGTAAATTTATATTAAATTAACTCCATACGCACATTGACTAATAAGGTATTTGGGGCAATTCCAGCTGAAAATATCTGACAACGAAACTCTAATTTTATCTGTCACAGTTGAAAAAAAAAATAATCTTTACTAAGGTCAAGTAAGCGTCTTTTCATCTCTGATGCTATTTTGCGGTTGCGTCGTTTTCCTAGACATCTTAGAGATTGTCTTTTTTGTTCGGTGAGCAATCTGTCACGACGTTTTATTGCTTCTTTGATAAGCAGTAAATAAATTGAACCGCGTCACAAATCTCGCTCCTGGGTGGTAGATATGGATAATAAAATCATATATCTCTTCGTTCACATATTCGTAGCACTTAATGTATTCCTTAGTCGCTTACTCTTATATCAATTATCCAAACTCGTTTTCTCCAACTGATTATTGTGACTACAAATGATAAATTTTCTTATCGAAGCTACTTTAAGAAACGCATCACATGAAACAATGTAACAATGCGATAGGATAGATAATAGATTTAAATTAAAATGAAAATAAACTTAAACTTATGAAATTCATTAGAACGTATGTGATATGGTCCCGCAAACTTGGAGGGGAATCCGGCAAGCGAGTCCCTGGCCGTAACAAAAATCAACGTAAATCATGTGTAATAAGCGTCAATCCTTTTTAGATAAAATTTACAAAGCAAATTCATTTTAAAATTAAACATTGCCTGTCCAATCTTCCCAGCTGAGCCATGCGAAGCATGAAACGCTATGAGTTGTCGTTTGCGCATGACTAACTGATTTCTTGCTTGACATACTTTTGCTAAGTAAATTTATAATTATGTCTGGTAATACATTATTATTACATATTAAAATGGATTAAAGGCATTTGTATAGTTGTGCATTTTTTTCCAAATCAGTTTTATCGCTGTTTTCACAATTTCAACCTTTTTTTTTTTTTCTCTTAATACCATTAATCATACAATCGATGTCTTCGTACTATTATGTACAAAGTTTGAAAGACTTTAGAAAACACTGATAACTGATAACTGATGTTATTCTATGAGGGTTTTTGAAATTTATTATTGAGCAAATGCTCAATTCAGTAAAATGCTTTGATCCATCTGCGCCGGGGCATATGAGAATATGAAACTTATATTTATAGTCTACATCACTTAAATATAGGTTACACCAAGTGTTTGTCGAATGGCTTTATTTTTTATTGTACGGATTTTCTCGGAATAATTTTCTGAATTCGCAATTTTTAAAGATACTTTGACCAAATTGAGTACGCTTTGTATTGTGTTCTGTCTCGGCGACGAATTTTCGCATCGAACAATTTTTTGCAATCACATTCAACTTGCGCTATTTAAAGACAAAAAAGCAGGTGAATAATAACGTGATGTTTGACAAGAAGCTCAAATATGCCAAATTCGGATAACGTTGATCCGTTCCGGTTACGCTCTCCTCCATATAAGCGCTACTAGGGGAAGTATGCTCTTAGTTAATAATGAAGTGAGAAATTGTCGCGTTGTAGGGTATCTAATGGTCAACATTCTTCGATGATAATATTTTTACTTATTCCTAATTAAGTTTTAAAGTTCAAATGAATTGAAGACAGGTATGTCGGATTTGTTTGTCATTTTGTGACACTCAAAATTATGTACGCGTCCTCCCTATGCTTGTATGCTTATGTCTCACGTAAAAAGTTAAAGCTCTATGTACATCGAATATATATATATATATATTGTGCCCTCAATATGTATGAATTAATATGCAAATGCCTTTGACAAATTCACAATTTCATTCTACAACGTTTTCTCTCAGTGTATTGTGAAGTTAATGTAAATAATTTTATTTATTTATAGAATGAAAAAAAGAAAAAGAAAGAAAAATCATATTCGAGATTATTGAAAGCTTTTATTGGCGACAAGCCCTGAATAATTCGTTACGTTATCAATTTCATATAAATTGATAAGAGATACAAGTATTTTAAATGTGAATAAGTTGAGAAAACTTGTATGATTTTTATTAATTTAATTTAATTTTATTAATTTAATAAAATGCGCGTATGTGTTCTGGGCGGCGGTATAAATGGTTTCTCTTGCGCGTTGTGCATCTTAGAACATTTTAAAATTAAAGGGGAAAATGTTGAAGTAATTGTTATATCGGAAAAATTTACACCCAATACGACAGGTGATGGATCTGCCGGCCTTTGGGGTCCCTATTTATTGGGCGAGACATCAGCAGCCAAAGTTCAGTAAGAAGAAGAAGAAGAAGATAATATTTATAAATAATTAATATATAAAATGAATTTTGTGCTATTTTAGCCAATGGTCGAAGGGTATGCACGACTTTTTAGAGAACTTGTGGATTTCGGAAGACGCTGGTGAAGCTGGAATTTGCTTAACGCCCGTGATTAGAGTTACAACCACGGATATGCCTCAAGCTGAATTTTGGAAAGATATAGTCTACGGGTTTAAATATCTGACACAAGGCCAGCTTGATGAATTGAATAGAAATCGTGCAAAAAAATTCAAGTTAGTCAGTCGCTTAGATATAAAGTTCCTATTGCTTTATAATTACATGACAAAGTCTCACGGAAATATATTTCATATAAAATTTATTTTTAACGCGTTAACATGAAAATTGAATTATATAATATATAGATTTGAAGGTTTTATGATACGAAATAAGGTTTACATTACTTATGTCCGGGAAAGGTATGCTTTTGTGCGGTTACACCCATAATCTTTGTTATAAGCAATTCGGATTACTGTATTATATTTAGCAAGTGAAAAACCACTATTGGACGTTAGGTCGGATGCCCGGCCTTTTTAGCCAATTAAAGCCAGTTTTAAAAGACATCTGGAAAATTACACATCACTAACTATTCTTCTATTGTAAAATACACGCGAGCTCGCAATGTTTGCGCTTATGAGATTTATTACAATTTTTTTCCCCCATGCAACCTTGACTTGAACGCTAAACATTTTTTAGATCCCTTATAAGTCTCAGTTAATACATTTTTGTTGTTTTATTATTCACATAATAATTTTATTTCTGTTTGCTTCTTAAAGGTCAGGACTACAGTTTATAACATTTACATCTGAGCCGCGTAAACTTTTGCCTTATTTGATGAAACGCTTTCAAAGCCAAGGTGGCCGTATATTGAAACAAAAAATTGAAAATATTTATAACTTTATGAAAATCGCTGATTATGATGTTGTCATTAATTGTGTCGGTTTGGGTGCCTTAAAGATGTTGAATGACAAAGATATGTATCCTATACGCGGTCAGGTAAGTCGAGTCAACGCTCCATGGCTGTATTATGTTTTATTAGACGATAGTGACGACGGAAATTACATAATTCCCAAGTAAGTGCAGCTCTGATGATCTTTGATGATTTGATTGAATTTATATTTTTCAAGAATTTTTAATTTTTTAGTTCGTTTACAGTGGTTTTAGGTGGGACCCATCAGGAAAATAATTTTAACACTTCTGTTTGTCCAAAAGATAAAAAATTCATTGTTGATGGCTGTAAAGAGATTATACCAGCATTAAATCAAGCTCAACATTTGTATGATTGGGTTGGCTTAAGACCAGGAAGAACTTCCGTACGTTTGGAGTTGGAACGGTTTGGTAAGTTTGCATGACATTCAAAATTACGCAAATAAATGTAAAGTAAAAAGTGTTTCACCTTAAGGCGAAAAGTTGCTAATACATAATTATGGCCATGGGGGCAGTGGCGTTACATTAGCTTGGGGCTGTGCCCAGGATGTTTTAAATATATTGGAAAGTGCTTTAAATATTCCTCAGTTAAAATCAAAATTGTAACCAATCCGATAAAAATAAAAAAAAAAAGAAGAAAATCTACAAAAGTTGTTCAAAGTATATATATACATATATATATACATATATATATATACATATATATATACATATATATATATACATATATATATACATATATATATATACATATATATATATACATATATATATATAAAAAAAGAAGAAAATCTACAAAAGTTGTTCAAAGTATATATATATATACATATATACATATATACATATATACATATATACATATATATATATACATATATACATATATATATATATATATATATATACATATGTCAACTAATGTTAAAAAAAATTACGTGAATAAAACGGATTAAATTAAGTCTAGTCTATCATTTAAAAGACGAGCTTAGATGCTAGTGCTCATTTTACTTTTCAGCTCTAGACTTTATTTCTTTATAGCAGTGACCGTTTTTTATTTATAATTAAAATGACCCCAATAATAATAATAATAATGACAACAACAACAATAATAATACACTTCTTAAAATCTATTATATTATTATACTAATTTTTGTAATTTAGTTCTTCGTTACTGAGGGAATTATTATACCTACCATCGGGATACTCAGGTTATAATTCTTAGGAATGCTCCCCAATAATATTGTACGCTATTAGCGATAGCTTTGTCCATCCATCTATTTTATAGATCAAGTTTTAAGGGGAGTTTTATTCTTCTATAAATACTACACTAGAGCGCATAGTCACAACAAGTGATAGGTAGTTTATGTCCTTCTTTCCTTTTGTTTTTTTTTGCTACCCTATTTAATTAAGCTTCGAATTAAGTCGTTTCTCAATTATTTTCAAACTTACCAAGTAATGAAGATATCACCTACGTTCATTGATCGTAGTGTCTATAAGCAGTTGAAAGTTGATATGTAAATCAATTAAAGAGACAGGATTGGAAAAGTAATAGCAATTTACATTGGAGAGATTTGTGAAGAAGTACAATTCAGATCATTGTACAGATTGTTTGCAAGTTCTGTTTTCAAATAGTTTCGATCGCTTTATTAACACATCCTAGATTAGAAAGCAAAAATTCTATTATGTAAAAGGAATAAGGACTTGGTTGTGCTTGTAATAAATAAATATAAAAAAATATATTAGTGAAAAATGTTGATTTAATATAACATACATTAGTAAAACGTGAATAACATTACATTACATTCGTACATAGAAAATGCATATACGAATGCTTTTTGTTATACCAATGACATCGGAAAATATGATCAGAAATCCTTGAATAATTGTACAGTGAGTTATGTATAAAAACTACTACAACTATTTAACTAGTAATTGGTAATGTATTTGTGAACTTTGTGACTTTGTCATATTTTCTTTTTTTAACCTTGTCTTCTTAATCGATTGAGCAATGTATGTATGTACCAAAGTTTCGATTTTTACCTTAGTTTTCGTAACTGAAGCAGTTCTTCGAGAAAAATGAGCCAAAGAAATGTATTTTGTAACTTTTATGTTGATATTTATCGTGTAACATAATACTGAAGTTATCAAGAATTCTCATTTTCTTGGTTATATGTAATCTCTTGTGTGTTGTTCAGTTATCAAACTATATATATATATATATATATATTTGATAATTTATTGTTTGCAAAACATTTACTTAATTATTTCTCGTCAAAATGATTGAAATAGACTGAGAACTTATTCTAAAGCACAATAACGACTTATTGGCCTTGCTATGTATTCCGCTTTTGTGTGTGTGTGTGTCGTGAGAATTTGAAAAAGTTGAGATAACTTCGAAATTCTATTTTTAGGCAACGTGATCAATAAAATATAAAGTTTTCCCATTTTATTTAACAAATTGTGTAAACATGTTGCCCACAAATATCTACGCATGTTGCACAACATTAATAGAAAAACTCGTCGAAAATTGTTTAACATTTTATGTTAACATTGCATCCTGCAGAAGGATATCGCTAAACACTTATAATAAGGTAAACATACATTATTTAATATATTATATATTGTATATTACGATAAATATGTTATATAACTTATTGTAATATCTCAGTCAATAAATTCGTAGCATAACATACAGATGTCGCCGCTATTGACGAACCCATACGATTTTCAAACTTTTCAATGATAAGTGCGTCAAACTCGTATGACATTCTGATTATCAGTTTACAAGATGCAGTTACTTTAGTGACGCTCTCTCTCTCTCTCTCTCTCTCTCTCTCTTGCAAACTTTCAAACGAACGAAAAGTAAATGAATTTCGTTCATCAATAATTAAAAGCATTGCATACTGAATTAAGGAAAGTAAACTTAGCTCCATCGAGTCAAATGGTAGACAAGTGGTTTGCTAATCTTGAACAAAATCATGAAGTTGGTCGTGTTGAATGCTCCGGTTCGGCAATTGTTCTACAAAAGAACATAAAAAAAAAGGGTGCATGAAATCGCTTTGAAAGACCGAAATCTGAAGTTGCGTGAGGAGATAAACATATCAAAGATATCAAGAGATATTCTATGCAACATTTTACATGAACGCCTGTCCATAAGAAACTTTTGCTCTTAATATATAACGCGTCTCCTTACTTTTAATAAGATCGTGTTGATGGTTCAGACTCTAGAATCGTATTGGCAGTTAGCGGATTGGACAGCAACCGATGAAAGTCATTCAAAGCGACCAAAATAGTAGCATTACTAAAACACAGTACAGTAACTTGTAAACCAGTAGTGGGAATGCCTTCGTAACATTTCGTAACATTTCGAGGCTAACTAAAGACCATATGAACATCTCTATGTCAAGCTGCGAACTTGGCGACTAAACTGTTATGTTGTAATTTACGTTTTTAGGAATGGCGAAAACTTTTATTTACGCGTACATATATTTATAATATGTAACACATGTACATACATAGTATTTAATAATTTCGCGACCAAACTCGACTGTTATAGATTCTTTATGTTTTGTTAGTTGTTTTCTTCGGATCTGGACGGAGCTTAAAAGAATTCGTTGTATAGTATAGTTCGCTATCAGTTAGTAGGAATCTGTACAGTACTAAACTATCTATCTAGTAATAAAGTATTTAAGCTATTTATGCTTAGCATCGACATATCTCGACATTATGTTATTACTTCTGCCCTTTTCGGATTTGTTGCATCAAGTATTTTACAGTTCGTTTACGTTGCCATAGTTATTATACTCTTGGGGTTTATTATGTCATATATATATATATATATATATGTTTATGTGTGTGTTTTTTGAGAATATGTTATATGTTGTAGCGATAACTTCGATATACTGTTGCTGAGAATTACTACAAAATACGCTATGAGGCAGTTGGTATGTAAAAGAATAAAATTTTCACGGAAATTTTTGAAGAGTGTTCGTTAAACTACGTGACATATACGGTATTTAGGTATATTTTTTAAATGAGAAAAATCTATTCAAAAATAGATAAATTAGTCTGTGATGCGCTGAGAAAACTATGGAAGGGAAACCTTACGCAATAAGGTCGGCAGTAATTGATGAAATTTCGTTTCAAAAGACTTGGGTTTCTGAGATGGCCTTTGAGCGGCTCGCTTAGTCCACAGCTTATATTAAAAATGTAATCATCCGCTTTTTGACTATTATACAGATTGCATTTGATCTCACCAATGAAAAATCAACTATTTGGGGAAAATCTTTTAATTTTCGTCACGTTCCGTTCTTCCACTTTTCCTACCTATGTTATCTAGTGGTTACTCGTACAGTATAACACGTCCATTATATAAGGTGTCACTTTTTTTCTAAAAAAAATACTAATAATCAGCCTTGTCGTCGCAATGTTATCGAGTATGAAAATTTACTTTTTTAGTTTCGTTTAGGAAAACGATGGTGAGTATAAAAGATACGTTCGCGACTGTACATAATTTTCTTGTGTGCTTTGTTTCCTTTTTATTTTTTATATCCAACATCAGAATATAATTTACATTTCCTATAAATTATGAAAAATCTTATTAACAAACCATGAGAATCCAATCCGTTAAAAAAATAGGCAGTGAGTAATTTTTTTTTTTTTTTTTTTTTTTTTTTTTTTTTATTAAAGGAAAGTAGGATTAACGGTGATCGGATTCAACTTTGGAGTCTCGCGTGAAAAACCATGAGCCGAAGCAGACCATAAGTAGGTTCGGGTAGAGAGTGGCCCAGAGCATTAGATCAGTCCTTACGGTAAATTAGTTTTCTCCGTTTGTCTACCTTTGTGTTCTTCCTTAGTGCAATTGTCTGTGGCTTGTCTGTGGGATGCATAGTAACCCTCCTCCCCTTCGATTACTACCGAGCTAGCTAATATTTCAATGATACATGCATCTATCCGTATGCAACTTTCGACCTTTGTTACGTTATATAACAGTGATGCCAAATGTAGGGCAAAAAGCGGATAGACAGTACGACATCAGATCGCAAACATCCCAGTTACACATTGCGTTTTTCTATGTTTTTTCGATTGGATTGACCTGCAAAATGTGGAATTGAAGCTGTAGAAATGATTAAATTGGCTTGGAACCTACGTAAAGAAATAGAAAGTGGTTTTCAAGGTTTTCGGGAACAAATTGTGCTCGTAAAAATGAATGAAAAATTCGCATATGTCCGTCCGTCTTCTGCAAAAACAACCAAGGCAGAAAATTTCTTAGCTTAGGCTGGAAAGTTTTGCCTCATCCGCAGTAGTCTACTTTCTCGGAAGTTCACGAAAGTTGAAGATGTGTGCGAAAATGCGTCGATGGCTATTTCGCCTCTAAATCCGCAACTTTCTTTCTTTCAATTTATTTACGCACCTACTTTTTCTTAATTATTTGGAATTTTTGCTTTCCTTTCTTCTTTGACGATAACCGTTCTTTATATAGATAAAAATATATAACTTATAGAAATAAATATGTAATCGCAGCCTTTTCATTCTTCAGCGTTCTTTTGACATTGCGGATATTCTCAACTTTGTTCTGCTAAGTAGCAATAGTTCGTGACCGACAGCGCTAAACAGTTTCA